ATTAAACGGTTTCCGAGTTATTCTCCGGAAACGAAACATGATGGACGGGCAGCACCTTTTCCTACCCATTCACATACTCCCACCGTTATGTTATCTGCTACGTCCAAGGGAAAGTGTGTAACAGAGGCTGGTTATTCTCTAGCGTTGACGTTTTATCATTATAACCGCATACAGGTCGATTCCATCGCACAGGTCTCCGATTTTGTAAATCGTTTAATGCTTCATGGATCTCAGGTATGTGATGGATCGAGGAAATATCGAGAAATATCGAGGTCACAATGTCCAATATGGATTCCTTCCACTGCAGAGATGATTTATGGGACGAAGGCGACCAGTAGCCACAATTATCCAAGTTCTAAATTCCTAAAGTTCCTGGATTTGAGCATCTTCCCGAGGCAAGAGAGTTAACTGACTTTAAAAGTCCAGTTTCCACCCTTGCCGAACTAGGCTGGAATTCCTGGGCTCGATCGTAGCGCCACCAGTGGCTATTACGAGTTATGTCCTTTCTGTGTACTTGGTCACTGCACCTTCCTCAAGCTTGTCCATTTTCCAAATGTCCAAAACACCTGCTTTATGTTACTGTCTTGTCACAGTGAAACGGTTTGCTCAACTGAGTTATGATTTCTTGTGGATATACCTTTAAAACATCATGAAAGTCCACAACTCACTATTTCTTTATTTCGCAATCACTTCAATTTTGGGCTCAAGTCTTATCAATAAACACTCGGAGGTAAAAATATATAGCATCTCGGATAAAAATGCCACATTATTTTGCTGATGTTATCTTATACAATTTGTTTATTTTGGTATATAGGGAAAAGGCCCACGTAAAAAAGACATTGCAGTATTAAATGTAAAGACAATTGTGAAACTGTATATACCTATTATCACAAGGAAAATTCATATTGGATATATATCGCGTCAATAAATGATTCATTTGTTGATAAGATATGGGTGCACATCTGATGTTATAGAATATACATCATAGTGCATTATACGTATCTATATTCGGATTGCATCTACGTAAGTAACTACAAAACACGCATTGTATGATGGGATCGTTGTGTTGATGGTGGCCAAACGTTGAAGTCCTCAGTGTTCGCAATGCCCTTTGTAAACGTTCGTTCCTGACCACGCCAATCCGAACTCTGTGTTTTGGTAGAATAGTTTGATCCTGAAATATCACAATGATTCAGAAGCTGTAATTCTGATTCTACATAAAGTGTGTTTATCAAAATCAAGGACGATAAACAACAAGATTTTATTTTGTGGGTTTTTTTGGATATCAAAGAATGTACCTGTCCTATTTTATAACGGTTTAGATATATGTACAACTCCAAAGAAGTAAAACAACACTCTATTCTTTCACATTACTATAGAATCTCTATCATGCCATGACATATTAGACCGCCTCCGTGGTCTAGTGGTAGAGCGTCCGCCCGGAGAGCGGAAGGTCCGGGGTTCGATCCCCGGCCACGTCATACCAAAAGACGTTTAAAGATGGTACTTGTTGTTACCCTGTCTGGCGCTCGGCATTAAGCGGCTAAAACAAGGATTGTCGGCTCGGAGGCAGTATACTGTGTCTGAGTAGGGTATTCATGTTAAACTGCGGCATGGTATCTCAGTGAGCTAGCACTATAAATCGGCATCAGTCCGGACTAGTACAAGCAGCCACACAAACACACACACGTACATGCACATCGCTAATAATCAATAATCTTGGACGCGACGTTAAACCCCATTTCACCTCACCATGACATCTTAACTACACTGAAATGAAAGCATCAGGTGTTCTTTAACTTTTTTGTTGTGCTCTATAAATCACTAAACTTATTTGAATGATCATTTAATTGCTTACACATAAGATACGTACATATACGTTTCAATATACTTACGTTATGACCTAACACGTGTTCATATCCCTTTGTCATAGGTGTATTTTTCACCTGTGTACGTTGCTGTTACCCCGTTATTCATTTGTACGTCTATGACGCGTTGTATGTAGTTTTGTACGGACGTACATTACGTAGGTTAAGGCCGAATACGTATGTTACCCCTCTGCATGTAATCATGTTGGATCTTTCCTCTTACGTGTATCCGTCCACAGTACGAGGACGTATGTCTGTCAACCCCAGGGGACATGAAAGTACGAATATATGTTCCTATATGGGTGGCTATATAGGTAAGCCTATGTAATGATCCCTGTGCGTACGTATATATGCTCCCTCTGAGTTTATAAAGTTCCCGTGTACGTGTGCAGATTCCCACGTGTACGTATATATGCTCCCTCTGAGTAAATATAGGTTCCTGTGTACGCGTGCAGATTCCCATGTGTACGTATATATGTTCCCTCTGAGTGTATAAAGGTTCCCGTGTACGTGTGCAGATTCCCACGTGTACGTATATATGTTCCCTCTGAGTATATAAAGATTCCCGTGTACGTGTGCTGATTCCCACGTGTACGTATATATGCTCCCTCTGAGTATATATAGGTTCCTTTGTACGTGTGCAGATTCCCATGTGCACGTATATATGTTCCCTCTGAGTATATAAAGTTCCCGTGTACATGTGCAGATTCCCACGTGTACGTATATATGTTCCCTCATAGTATATATAGGTTCCTTTGTACATGTGCAGATTCCCACGTGTACGTATATATGTTCCCTCAGAGTATATATAGGTTCCTTTGTACACGTGCAGATTCCAACGTGTACGTATATATGTTCCCTCTGAGTATATAAAGTTCCCGTGTACGTGTGCAGATTCCCACGTGTACGTATATATGTTCCCTCAGAGTATATAAAGGTTCCTGTGTACGTGTGCAGATTCCCACGTGTACGTATATATGCTTCCTCTGAGGATATAAAGTTTCCCGTGTACATGTGCAGATTCCCACGTGTACGTATATATGTTCCCTCTGAGTAAATATAGGTTCCTGTGTACGTGTGCAGATTCCCACGTGTACGTATATATGTTCCCTCAGAGTAAATATAGGTTCCTGTGTACGTGTGCAGATTCCCACGTGTACGTATATATGTTCTCTCAGAGTATATATAGGTTCCTTTGTGCGTGTGCAGATTCCCACGTGTACGTTTATATGCTCCCTCTGAGGATATAAAGTTTCCCGTGTACGTGTGCAGATTCCCTCGTGTACGTATATATGTTCCCTCTGAGTAAATATAGGTTCCTGTGTACACGTGCAGATTCCCACGTGTACGTATATATGTTCCCTCAGAGTATATAAAGTTTCCGTGTACATGTGCAGATTCCCATTTGTACGTATTATTGTTCCCTCAGAGTATATCAAGTTTCCGTGTACATGTGCAGATTCCCATGTGTACGTATATATGTTCCCTCAGAGTATATAAATTCCCGTGTACATGTGCAGATTCCCACGTGTACGTATATATGTTCCCTCAGAGTATATAAAGTTCCCGTGTACGTGTGCAGATTCCCACATGTACGTATATATGTTCCCTCAGAGTATATATAGGTTCCTTTGTACGTGTGCAGATTCCCACGTGTACGTATATATGTTCCCTCAGAGTATATAAAGTTCCCGTGTACATGTGCAGATTCCCATGTGTACGTATATATGTTCCCTCAGAGTATATATAGGTTCCTGTGTACGTGTGCAGATTGCCACGTGTACGTATATATGCTCCCTCTGAGTGTATAAAGGTTCCCGTGTACGTGTGTAGATTCCCACGTGTACGTATATATGCTCCCTCTGAGGATATAAAGTTTCCCGTGTATGTTTGCAGATTCCCACGTGTACGTATATATGTTCCCTCTGAGTATATAAAGATTCCCGTGTACGTGTGCTGATTCCCACGTGTACGTATATATGTTCCCTCAGAGTATATAAAGTTTCCGTGTACATGTGCAGATTCCCATTTGTACGTATTATTGTTCCCTCAGAGTATATCAAGTTTCCGTGTACATGTGCAGATTCCCATGTGTACGTATATATGTTCCCTCAGAGTATATAAATTCCCGTGTACATGTGCAGATTCCCATGTGTACGTATATATGTTCCCTCAGAGTATATATAGGTTCCTGTGTACGTGTGCAGATTGCCACGTGTACGTATATATGCTCCCTCTGAGTGTATAAAGGTTCCCGTGTACGTGTGTAGATTCCCACGTGTACGTATATATGCTCCCTCTGAGGATATAAAGTTTCCCGTGTATGTTTGCAGATTCCCACGTGTACGTATATATGTTCCCTCTGAGTAAATATAGGTTCCTGTGTACGTGTGTAGATTCCCACGTGTACGTATATATGCTTCCTCTGGGTAAATATAGGTTCCTGTGTACGTGTGCTGATTCCCACGTGTACGTATATATGCTCCCTCTGAGTATATATAGGTTCCTGTGTACGTGTGCTGATTCCCACGTGTACGTATATATGCTCCCTCTGAGTATATAAAGGTCCCCGTGTACGTGTGCTGATTCCCACGTGTACGTATATATGCTCCCTCTGAGTATATAAAGGTTCCCGTTTACGTGTGCTGATTCTCACGTGTACGTATATATGCTCCCTCTGAGTATATAAAGGTTCCTGTGTACGTGTGTAGATTCCCACGTGTACGTATATATGTTCCCTCTGAGTACATATAGGGTCCTGTGTAGGTATATATGCTCCCTCTGAGTGTATAAAGGTTCCCGCGTACGTGTGCAGATTCCCACGTGTACGTATATATGCTCCCTCTGAGTATATAAAGGTTCCCGCGCATGTGTACAAATTCCCACGTGTACGTGTATATGTTCCCTTTGGGTATGTGGCATCAGTTCCAAGAACAATTTTTACATAGTTGATGTCATACTATGTATCGAAGTCTTACACTGGATGTTGGATTTTACGTCGAAGAATATCGTTGTTTCCAAAGAATACAGCCATATCTGTGTATGTGAATATTCATAACACACGTACATATAATAAACCCACTCCTACGCTCTCCGCCAACTGTAGACATACCAGATACTTCAAACTTACAACTTCAGTGAGATGCGTTCTTTTCAAATCGAGCAGGTATATCAACTGGTGCAGTCACCCTGATCCCTGTCAACATCTGGACGCAAGAGTTTGTACATCATCATCCAGGTAAGTTATCGACAGGTAAAAGATGCATGCAGCAAATCTGCAGTGTGGTTCTGTCGCACCAAAACGTATAAGATTTATTTGATTCATATAATTTGAGTTCATATCTAAGGTTATGTTTTGAAGCCTGCCAGTCGGTAGTAACGAGTTCTCGCACATCTGATTCTTAAGGTATTCCTTCAAAGGTATATATTGCAAGTATTCCTTTAAAGGTATACATTGCAAGTATCCTTCTAAGGTATATATTGCAAGTATCCTTCTAAGGTATACATTGCAAGTATCCTTCTAAGGTATATATTGCAAGTATCATTTTACGGTTTATATTGAAAGTATTCTTCTAAGGTATATATTGCAAGTATCCTTCTAAGGTATATATTGCAAGTATTCCTTTTAAGATTTATATTTCAAGTATCCTTTTAAGGTATATATTGTAAGTATTCCTTTTAAAGTATATATTGCAAGTATTCCTTTTAAGGTTTACATTGCAAGTATTCCTTTCTAAGGTATACATTGCAACTATTTTCTTTTAAGGTATATATTGCAAGTATTCCTTCTAAGGTTATATATTGCAAGTATTCCTTTTAAGATATATATTTAGTTTAATGGTTAAAGCGTTCGCTCGTCACGTCGAAGACCCGGGTTCGATTCCTGGGATGGGTACAATGTGTGAAGCCCATTTCTGGTGTCCCCCGCCGTGATATTGCTGGAATATTGCTTAAAACGGCGTAAAACTAAACTCACTTTAAGGTATATATTCCAAGTATTCCTTCTAAGGTATGAATTGCAAATATTCATTTTAAGGTTTATATTGCAAGTATTCCTTTTAAGGTGTTTATGGCAAGCAATCTGTTTAAGTTATATAATACAAGTCTTCCTTCTGAAGTATTCATACTTTGGTATTTATTGCATATCTTCATTCTAATCAATATATTTCAAGTATTCCTTCTAAAGTATATATGTCTTGTATTCTTTCTGTAGTATATATTCTTTACCACTGAGATATATATTGCAAGAATCCCAAATAAGGTATACATTTCATGTGTTCCTTTTAAAGTATATATTGCAAGTATCCTTCTAAAGTATATATTGCAAGTATTCCTTATACAGTATATATTGCAAGGGTTCCTTCTAAATTATATAGCGCAAGTTTTCCTCTTAAAGTATATATATAACATGTATTTCTTCAAAGATATCATTTGCAAATATCCTTCTAAAGTACATATACATATGACCGCCGCCGTGGTCTAGTGGTAGAAAGGGCGTCCTCCAGGAGAGCGGAAGGTCCGGGGTTCGATACCCGGCCGCATCATACAAAAAGACGTTAAAAGATGGTACCTGTCTGGCGCTCGGCATTAAGGGGCTAAAACAAGGACTGGTCGACTCGGAGTATGTCAGTAGGCCAGTACTGTTAAATCGAAATTAGTCCCAGAACAAGCAGCCATGCACACACACACGTGCGCATGCACGCACCTCGCTATAAAAGTACAATAATCTTGGACGCGACGTAAAACCCTATTTCACCTCACCTCTAAAGAATATATTGCAAGAATTACAACTGAGGTATATATTGCAAGTCTTCCTTCTCACGTATATATTGCAAGTCTTCCTTCTCACGTATATATTGCAAGTCTTCCTTCTCACGTATATAGTGCAAGTCTTCCTTCTCACGTATATAGTGCAAGTCTTCCTTCTCACGTATATAGTGCAAGTCTTCCTTCTCACGTATATAGTGCAAGTCTTCCTTCTCACGTATATAGTGCAAGTCTTCCTTCTCACGTATATAATGCAAGTCTTCCTTCTCACGTATATAGTGCAAGTCTTTCTTCTCACGTATATAGTGCAAGTCTTCCTTCTCACGTATTTAGTGCAAGTCAACCTTCTCACGTATATAGTGCAAGTCTTCCTTCTCACGTATATAGTGCAAGTCTTCCTTCTCACGTATATAGTGCAAGTCTTCCTTCTCACGTATATAGTGCAAGTCTTCCTTCTCACGTATATAGTGCAAGTCTTCCTTCGGAAATATAATTAACTTGTGTAAGTGAATCGCCTTTAATTACAAAATAAAATGGATGGGAAAAGCAGGGTTTTTATAAATTGGTTGACATATACATGTATATTCCAAGACGTAAGTGAGTTAAAAATCGGCATATACCCACCGCAAGTATCCCTTCAATTGTATACATGTATTTAACAAATATACTCACACGCAAAAGAAACGCAAGTGGTTTTAACCAAATAGGTAACAAACACGGAACCATAAATTGATACGAGTTTTAGCATGTAGTGAAGCCTGATGGTGTTATCAATATTTTTGGTTGCATTTTGGAAGCCCCGAGTAAAAACGCAACATAAAAAACGAATCGCCAAAACGCACCATTTCAATGAATACGTGGGTATCATGCACCCATTTCTCGCGAAATCGAAAATGCACGAACTGTCACGAACTGTAGAAGGTATAAAACTGTGGCCGATTCTTGAACCTACCACTCAACAATGCCACGCCTAACTCAAATTCAGAGAAACCAGGCTATCGGTCGTTTGGAAGCTGGAGAGTCTGTCCAAGATGTTGCCCGTCATTTCAACGTTAACATAACCACAATTTACCGTCACCTGCATCGATACAATGCTACACAGACCACAGATGACTTTCCTCGGAGCAGTCGTCCAAGGGTCACCACACCTCGACAAGATCGGCAGATTACCCGTCAACACCAGCAACATCCGTTCCTAACTGCAAGTGAAAGTGCTCGACAGACCATGGGAACACATAATCGACACCTTAGCCGGGACACTGTGATCCGGCGTCTCCGTTCCAACAACCTCAGATGTCGCCGACCAGCACATCGTCCTGTTCTCCAACCACGGCATCGACAAGCACGACTTCAGTTGGCACAGGGTCATCACAATTGGCGTCATCGTGAGTGGAGGCGTGTCATCTTCTATCTGATGAAAGTCGCTTTTGTGTATCCCATGCAGACGGAAAAGTCAGAATTTGGCGGCGTCGAGGTGATCGTTTCGCTGACAAAAACGTTGTGGAAAGTGATCCATGGGGTGGACCCAGCGTCATGATATGGGCAGGGATTGGACTTAATGCGAGACTTGGACCAATGTGCTTTCTGAATGTTGGTCAAGGTCGGGGACACGGCGTCACTGCTCAGCGGAATATCGACCAAGTGATCAGACCCCACGTTGTTCCATTTTTTGTACAACACCAACAACACATTTTCCAGCAGGACAACGCTCGTCCCCATGTTGCCAGCGCTACCATGGCCTTTCTGCAACAACACAACATCCGTGTTCTACCGCAGCCAGCCCTCAGCCCTGATCTGAACCCCATCGAACACTTGTGGGATGAGGTTCAAAGGCGTCTGCACAATGTGCGCCCAGTCCCTACAACTGCCGATGAACTTCGCACAGCTGCTCTGGATGTGTGCAGGAGGATCCCTAGGGCCTTCACAAATCGTCTGATCCACTCAATGTACAGGAGATGTGTGGCAGTGATCAATGCTAATGGTGGTCACACCAGGTATTGACTGACATTTTGGGTATTGACCCGAAACTGTGGAAGCCCTTAACATTTGAAAAAAACAATTATGTCATCTGCCTTTTAATCCATTAAACTGTCTTCAGTCAAATTTTTGTCAATCTTGCCCTATTAGTATTTCTTGTCTTTACTGTTGAAAATAAGTAACATGTATACTGCATACTCGACTTGCGTTTCTTTTGCGTGTGAGTATATATAATTAACTTGTCAATGTGACTCGTCCTCAGTTTCTAGTCCTGGAAATGAATGGAAATGTGGATTTTCTATAACTTGGTTAACATAATTATATATTCACACGAGTAAGTAAATTAAGGACTGCATATAACTACCGATACAGTGACGTGACATGAATAATTCACGCGCCTCTGCTTTTAAAAAAATTAAGGCGTGATGATTGACAATCTTGTTTTGACATAGCTGCAATGGTGAATGGTGTGTATGCATATTTTAAGTAATTAGCATGACAAGAAATATTAAAACTATCCTACAAAAGTGACGCACTAAATTAATCATTTAAAATATTTACACCTGAACTTCTGACAAACGGCACATTTTGGATATCATGGCGATAACTGATGAGACAAATGGCCTCTGAAATCAAAATCGTGAAAATGTCTTAAAATTTCGTACTTCAATTAGCAAGCATATGGTTTTCGTCCAGATCGAAAAAGAGAGATACAATATGGTTATTAACAACGTTTTTTAATCAAAGATCTTTTTCTTACAAAATGATCTATTTCACTTCGGTTTTTGTAAGGAACCTGCAGTGAAAATTGTTGGTTTCCAACCACTGCTCATCTATTAATTACAACATGGTCCATGGATCGATGCTCATGATATTAAGCACTTGATTGTCTGGTTCAGACTCGATTATTTACAGACCCCCGCCATGTACCTGGAATATTGCTGAGTGCGGCGTTAAACAACAAACATAACAAAAAAACAAAACGATATACATGAGTTTGGTTGAAGAAGATGGACATAAGAAATGGGAGCAACGATGGCCTTCCGCAATAAGGAAACACATTTCTGCGAGTCTCTAGGCATGGCTCGATTAGATGCTTCAGGAGCTGATATTGAATATACTTACACCTATATATAAAAGCAAAATATTGTGAATGCTATCAGATATCTATTGAAATACAATGAGCGATAAATACGTATTGTAATGAAAAAAAGCCCGTTCTAATCTTCACCGTTATCAGCTCTAAATGCGAGCTTTTCCTGTTGTTTCTGATAGTTTTAAAACTCAGGAAGATAGTTTAGGTAGTGATAATTGTTGAGCTGAGGTTCCGTCGAATCGGTTTGCAATATCTGACTTATTTTATCCTAAGTGATCAAGATGGCGAATGCTAGATTTTGAGTGGAAAATATTTTATCTTGGATGCAGCCATAGTTCCTCCATTGGTTTAGCTTCTCTTGTTTCAATGAACGCCACGACTTAGCACTTGTAATTCTAACAAGTTCAGGACAGTAGGGTGTCCCTGACTTACGCCACTTTGGTGAAATTCAGGAGCACGTGCATTGTGCAGACAAACCAAACGGAGTTTTGGAATGAGTAAGGGACGCAACTCTGCAATGCGAACTGCGCCGCCTTTGACGACTCAGTCACCCATGCAGCCAGTGCATAGAAAGCTACATAAGCGTCGTTTGTTTGTTTGTTTGTTTGTTTGTTTTTTGTTTAACGTTTGCGTTCAGCAATAGCCTAGTTTTTTTCAGGTTTTCACTTACAGATGGTGTATTGTGACTAGAAACCATATGCTACCGTATTTGTTCAGATGAACAATTGAACTGACTTTGCATGTGTTTGTGACGGGTGGGGAAGGATGCGCTAACCTTTTCGCGAACACATGGTATCGTCACAATTTGATAGTGGTTCATGAACACGTGATCATGATATAGTTGGAATACAATGGACTTTTGGTTGAATTTTTTTTATGATTGTGGAAATGTTTTAGTGGCTAACATATCAGCTGGTGCGTCCATGTTTCAGATCCGTCACCATGGAGACCTCAATTCTCTTCATCTGCCTCCTCCTCCTCCTCCCAGGATGCGTCGCGGAAGAAGCTGAGAGTGAAGTTGCTGATGCAAAGCCTCACTTATCCGAGAGAAGTGCTGAAGTAGCGGTAAGCCATGTAGTGTTTCTGAAAAGGATATAATATGTGTATATGTATACATTGTTGTTACTTTCAATACCATGTGTATACATTGTTGTTATTTTGAATACCCGAGGTATACATTGTTGCTACTTTGAATACCCGAGGTATACATTGTTGTTACTTTGAATACCATGAGTATACATTGTTGCTACTTTGAATACCCTGGTATGCATTGTTATTACTTTGAATACAAAGTGTATACATTGTTGGCACTTTGAATACCATGTGTATATATTGTTGTTACTTTGAATATCATGTGTATACATTGTTGTTATTTTGAATACCCGAGGTATACATTGTTGCTACTTTGAAAACCCTGGTTGAATTTGTTATTACTTTGAATACAAAGTGTATACATTGTTGGCACTTTGAATACCATGTGTATAGATTGTTGTTACTTTGAATATCATGTGTATACATTGTTGTTATTTTGAATTCCCGAGGTAAACATTGTTGCTACTTTGAATACCCGAGGTATACATTGTTGTTACTTTGAATACCCTGGTATACATTGTTGCTACTTTGAATACCCTGGTATACATTGTTATTACTTTGAATACAATGTGTATACATTGTTATTACTTTGAATATAATGTGTATACATTGTTATTACTTTGAATACAATGTGTGTACATTGTTGTTACTTTGAATACAATGTGTATACATTGTTGTAACTTTAAATACCCTGGGTGTACATTGTTGGTACTTTAATACCCAGGTATACATTGTTGTTACTTGAATACCCAGGTATATATAGTTGGTACTTTGATTACCCTGGTATACATTGTTGGTACTTTGAATACCCAGGTATACATTGTTGTTACTTGAATACCCAGGTATACATAGTTGGTACTTTGATTACCCTGGTATACATTGTTGGTACTTTGAATACCCAGGTATACATTGTTGTTACTTGAATACCCAGGTATACATAGTTGGTACTTTGATTACCCTGGTATACATTGTTGGTACTTTGAATACCCTAGTATACATTGTTGTTACTTGAATACCCTGGTATACATAGTTGGTACTTTGATTACCCTGGTACACATTGTTGGTACTTTGATTACCCTAGTATACATTGTCGTTACTTTGAATACCCGAGGTATACATTGTTGTTACTTTGAATACCATGAGTATACATTGTTGTTACTTTGAATACCCGAGGTATACATTGTTGTTACTTTGAATACCATGAGTATACATTGTTGCTACTTTGAATACGCTGGATATACATTGTTTTTGTCTTCAGAAATGAATGAAAATAAATAAAAACGCCCATCGATAGAAACAAAAACGAAACTCGGATCGTATAAATTTATTGATGACCAAACATTAATTTGCTTTCACAGGTCGATACCTGTGTACACAAAAATCATGTGTCCAGACAGGAACAGTCTGATACCGTTTATATTACATTGTTGTATTGTGCTCATAAGCGAAGGTCTGTTTCTCATATCTGACACTCCCATTGTACCCGCTTTACAAACTAAGTTCACCTATTTAGATTGATAGATTATGTGATGAGAAAGAATAATTTTTTGGTGTGCTCAATTTTTTTCACTGCGGTCACCCTGAAATCCAAGATGGCCGCCAATATGGCCGCCACTTTTCTACCTAACCTATTAACTTCACTATATATCCTATTTGTTTATCAAATATTAATCATAAATCACTACTGACCATCAACAGCTGATGTGTACTATATATATTTTGTTTGGGCACCAAATTTAACATTTCAGAACGGAATTACTAGTTCAAAATGGATGCCAAGTTCAAATTAATGATATTCTTTTATCGAAAACGGGGTATTTTTTGTATGGATATACCAATCAGAACTTCAATTTGGAATGGGATAATACAAATTAACCACTTTTGTATTTAAATAGATATTTGGTCTTGTAGCTGAAGCTGAAACATATCTAATATCGATACAAAATCCCAGCCCCCTCCTCTCCGCGACCCCAACAGAATATGAAATAGTCGGTCCCTGAGCAGAACCCACGATATCTGTGTGTTGATGCATGATCAGTCAGGTGATTCCCCATCATAACAAGTCTGCTAGTTGTGTGTCCAGTTGTGCCCATGTAGAGATATGAATAACAGTATAGCAGTATCATTACGATAGTTAAACTGTTCATATACGTCACCCTCAGTCTTGTTCTTGTTCAGGCTAAGGCTGATACTGACGCTGTCGAAAGGAGCATTGAAGCTAGACATATCAGATTTAGCACCAGTCGAGTCGGATGGGGTAGCAGGTCGGGAACCCGCTATGGCCACAGGCGAGTTGGAAGCACAGTCAGAAGCGGCTGGGGAAGCCGAGTTGGAAGCACAGTCAGAAGCGGCTGGGGAAGCCGAGTTGGAAGCACAGCCAGAAGCGGCTGGGGAAAGCAAAATTACGGAAGGGTGAGAAGTAGATTTAGGACCTTATTCCGAGGCTGGGGACGCAGACGCGGAACTCGGAGTCGCAGATGTTTGGGAGACGGCTGGGGAAACGGTAGCGGCGACGACAGCGGCGACGGCAGCGGCGATGATAGCGGCGACGGTAGCGGCGATGATAGCGGCGACGGCAGCGGCGACGGCAGCGGCGATGATAGCGGCGACGGTAGCGGCGATGATAGCGGCGACGGCAGCGGCGACAATAGCGGCGATGATAGCGGCGACGGTAGCGGCGATGATAGCGGCGACGGCAGCGGCGACAATAGCGGCGATGATAGCGGCGATGATAGCGGCGACGATAGCGGCGACGACAGCGGCGATGATGAAAGTGGAGACGATAGCGGCGATGATAGCGGCGACGACAGCGGCGACGACAGCGGCGATGATAGCGGCGATGATAGCGGCGACGATAGTGGCGACGATAGCGGCGACGATAGTGGAGACGATAGCGGAGACGATAGCGGCGACGACAGCGGCGATGACAGCGGCGATGATAGCGGCGATGATAGCGGCGACGATAGCGGCGATGATAGCGGAGACGATAGCGGCGATGATAGCGGCGACGATAGTGGAGACGATAGCGGCGATGATAGTGGAGACGATAGCGGCGACGATAGCGGCGACGACAGCGGAGACGGTAGCGGCGGAGATGACGATGAATGTTGTGAGAGTGGCGACGATAGCGGCGACGATAGTGGAGACGATAGCGGAGACGATAGCGGCGATGACAGCGGCGATGATAGCGGCGACGATAGCGGCGACGATAGCGGCGATGATAGCGGCGATAATAGCGGCGACGATAGTGGCGACGACAGCGGCGACGATAGTGGAGACGATAGCGGCGATGATAGCGGCGACGATAGCGGCGACGACAGTGGCGACGGTAGCGGCGGAGAAGACGATGAATGTTGTAAGAGGTGCAGCTGTTGCCGCGACACTCAGACTACCGAAGGGTAAGGCTTTTAGGGGTTGGTGATCAGTACAAAAGCTGCGCGAGTAGCAGGTCCTGTGGGAATACACCTGAACTATATGTCACTGGGTAAATGAAGGTGTGTCAAGAGGCATCACTGTTTATGTCTTAAATAATGATGATATGAATTCCTTAGTTAAACAACTGTCTCTTATCTCGGTTGTGTTACTGTCTCATTTCTGAAACCATTGAAAAACTTGGTTTTAACACTCACTGATAATTAATTATAGCTAACACTGTTGAATGTCTCGGCTATACCACTGTCTGAAAAATAGTATTGAAACTATTGAAAATATAGGTTTCGGTTACTGTCTAACTATTAATTAACTTTGCTATGCTACTGTCTGGTAACTGATTATAGCCAACACTATTGAATAACTCGGTTATACCACTGTCTGATAATTACGAGTAGTGTTCAAACTATTTTTAAAAAATCGGTTATTCCACTGTTTGAAAATTAGAGCTGACGCTATTGAAAATCTTAGTTATTTTACTGTCACAACATTCAAAATCTTAAATAACTCGTTTATGTCATTGTCTGATAATTAATTGTGGCTGACACTATTTAATAACTTGGTTATATCACTTTCTGATAATTAGGGTTGAAACAATAACAGAATTCGGTTATACAAATAGAATTTCTATAAAGAAGTTAAACATCCAGACAATATTGTTATTATTTACGTCAGGGGCGGCGGGGTAGCTGAGTGGCTATAGCGCTCGCTCGTCACACCAAAGACCTGGTTCGATTCCCCACATGGGTGCAATGTGCGAAGGCCATATCTGGTGGCTGCCGCCGCGGTATATCTGGACTGTTTAAAGCGGCGTAAAACCCATCTCACCCACTCCCTCAAAACGCCACTCAAATATACATATGCTAGTGCGGTTTTGCTAATGTCTGAAGTGAGTGAGTGAGTGAGTATGGTTTTACGCCGCTTTTAGCAATATTCCAGCAATATCACGGCGGAGGACACCAGAAATGGGCTTCACACATTGTACCCATGTCGGGAATCGAACCCGGGTCTTCGGCGTGACGAGCGAACGCTTTAACCACTAGGCTACCCGACCGCCTATAATGTCTGAAGACTGTCATGACAAATTTATATAATGAATGAACAAGCGAAAAGGTTACAGTGGGTGAATGTTGATTAACGCCGCAGGCAGTATTATTCCAGTAATAATATTTTCCTGTTGCTGTGTTACAGCAAATAGATTCACTTGAGCAATTTGTCATTTCCGTTGTTGTATAGTATCTCTTTTTTCCGTTGCTGTATAGCATCTCTTTTTGTCGGTTTCGGAATAATAGCTCCAAAGAGATCATGTTATATTTCGACCTGTAGTAACCGGCGTTAACTAAAATTTCACTGTTTCTCTTGTGCCATTCAACACGTATACTTAACTACACTGAACAACTTTAGACACTTTCAAGCCTTTGAATGGCATTTCGAAGTGATGCACAAAAGGCAGAGAATTAAGGATGTCAACTTCTTTAATATGAGGAAACTCAACGTTTCGGAGTATATGCTTACTCCTTCTTCAGGCGAATGAATTCTATGAGGCAGAGAGCATATATATCTACATCAAAGGACAACAAAAGTAATAACATTACAAAAGATGGAAACTAACAAGGGAGGCCAACAGATAATTGCCGCTGGGCTGGCTTCCAGTTGTCCATAGTGAGTGAGTGAGTGAGTTGAGTTTAACGCCGCTTTTAACAGTATTCCAGTTAGATCGCGGCGTGTCAGCTTATTGTGGGAGGAAAGCCCGAAGTGATGCAGGTCTCAGACGTTTATCACCTCGGTGAAACCCACGAGCACGGGTATGGTGCTGACAAACCTAGAAACATAATAGAGGCGAACCGGGATTCGAACCCACAATCATAGGTTTCTGGCGTGCCCTAGGGACGCAACTCTGCACAGCGAATCGCGGCGCCTTATACGACTGGGCCACCCGTGCCCCCCAGTTTTCCATAACCATCAGTGCTAATTACTGTAAAGTGTTGGCTTCCATTGTCTTTTGCTAATCACCTATCAGTGGTAATTATAATAAGTTTACATAAATTATCTTTCCTTAGATACTTTCTTTTCGTTTCAGGATGCCACATGACTACATTCGGAGGGGACAATGATAATTAACTTTTGAAAATGCAATTACGTTTGAAATTATATGTTAATTACATGAAATAAAAAGGACGCCTAATGAATCTGGTATTTTCTGCTTGTGTATTATGAAGCTTTCGCTTACTTACTTACTTACTTTGGAGATTTAACGTGCGCTTTCCGACTGATGCGTATTTCGCACACGGTGAAGCTTTCGCTCATTGTTATTTTCTTAAATGCCTCAGGGGGGCATTTGTGTCAGGGTAAACAATCCGTCCCTCGAACCTAACACAACACAAACATTTACTGTTTTTATATGTAAAACAAATGTGAAATTGAAATTGTATAGTATCTCTTTTTTCCGTTGTTGTATAGTATCTCTTTTTTCCGTTGTTGTATAGTATCTCTTTTTTCCGTTGTTGTATAGCATCTCTTTTTGTCGGTTTCGGAATAATAGCTCCAAAGAGATCATGTTATATTTCGACCTGTAGTAACCGGCGTTAACTAAAATTTCACTGTTTCTCTTGTGCCATTTAACACGTATACTTAACTACACTGAACAACTTTAGACACTTTCAAGCCTTTGAATGGCATTTCGAAGTGATGCACAAAAGGCAGAGAATTAAGGATGTCAACTTCTTTAATATGAGGAAACTCAACGTTTCGGAGTATATGCTTACTCCTTCTTCAGGCGAATGAATTCTATGAGGCAGAGAGCATATATATCTACATCAAAGGACAACAAAAGTAATAACATTACAAAAGATGGAAACTAACAAGGGAGGCCAACAGATAATTGCCGCTGGGCTGGCTTCCAGTTGTCCATAGTGAGTGAGTGAGTGAGTTGAGTTTAACGCCGCTTTTAACAGTATTCCAGTTAGATCGCGGCGTGTCAGCTTATTGTGGGAGGAAAGCCCGAAGTGATGCAGGTCTCAGACGTTTATCACCTCGGTGAAACCCACGAGCACGGGTATGGTGCTGACAAACCTAGAAACATAATAGAGGCGAACCGGGATTCGAACCCACAATCATAGGTTTCTGGCGTGCCCTAGGGACGCAACTCTGCACAGCGAATCGCGGCGCCTTATACGACTGGGCCACCCGTGCCCCCCAGTTTTCCATAACCATCAGTGCTAATTACTGTAAAGTGTTGGCTTCCATTGTCTTTTGCTAATCACCTATCAGTGGTAATTATAATAAGTTTACATAAATTATCTTTCCTTAGATACTTTCTTTTCGTTTCAGGATGCCACATGACTACATTCGGAGGGGACAATGATAATTAACTTTTGAAAATGCAATTACGTTTGAAATTATATGTTAATTACATGAAATAAAAAGGACGCCTAATGAATCTGGTATTTTCTGCTTGTGTATTATGAAGCTTTCGCTTACTTACTTACTTACTTTGGAGATTTAACGTGCGCTTTCCGACTGATGCGTATTTCGCACACGGTGAAGCTTTCGCTCATTGTTATTTTCTTAAATGCCTCAGGGGGGCATTTGTGTCAGGGTAAACAATCCGTCCCTCGAACCTAACACAACACAAACATTTACTGTTTTTATATGTAAAACAAATGTGAAATTGAAATTGTATAGTATCTCTTTTTTCCGTTGTTGTATAGTATCTCTTTTTTCCGTTGTTGTATAGTATCTCTTTTTTCCGTTGTTGTATAGCATCTCTTTTTGTCGGTTTCGGAATAATAGCTCCAAAGAGATCATGTTATATTTCGACCTGTAGTAACCGGCGTTAACTAAAATTTCACTGTTTCTCTTGTGCCATTTAACACGTATACTTAACTACACTGAACAACTTTAGACACTTTCAAGCCTTTGAATGGCATTTCGAAGTGATGCACAAAAGGCAGAGAATTAAGGATGTCAACTTCTTTAATATGAGGAAACTCAACGTTTCGGAGTATATGCTTACTCCTTCTTCAGGCGAATGAATTCTATGAGGCAGAGAGCATATATATCTACATCAAAGGACAACAAAAGTAATAACATTACAAAAGATGGAAACTAACAAGGGAGGCCAACAGATAATTGCCGCTGGGCTGGCTTCCAGTTGTCCATAGTGAGTGAGTGAGTGAGTGAGTTGGGTTTAACGCCGCTTTTAACAGTATTCCAGTTAGATCGCGGCGTGTCAGCTTAAGGTTGGAGGAAAGCCCGAAGTGATGCAGGTCTCAGACGTTTACCACCTCGGTGAAACCCACGAGCACGGGTATGGTGCTGACAAACCTAGAAACATAATAGAGGCGAACCGGGATTCGAACCCACTGTCATAGGTTTCTGGCGTGCCCTAGGGACGCAACTCTGCACAGCGAATCGCGGCGCCTTAGACGACTGAGCCACCCGTGCCCCCCAGTTTTCCATAACCATCAGTGCTAATTACTGTAAAGTGTTGGCTTCCATTGTCTTTTGCTAATCACCTATCAGTGGTAATTATAATAAGTTTACATAAATTATCTTCCTTTAGATACTTTCTTTTCGTTTCAGGATGCCAGATGACTACAACCTTCATATGATGGGGGACTATGATAATTAACTTTTGAAAATGTAATTAAGTTTGAAATCATATGTTAATTACATGAAATAAAAAGGACGCCTAATGAATCTTTCGCTCATTGTTATTTTCTTAAATGCCTCAGGTGGGGCATTTGTGTCAGGGTAAACAATCCATCCCTCGAACCTAACACAACACAAACATTTACTGTTTTAATATGTGAAACAAAGGTGAAATTGAAAAGTTATGGCTCTTATACAGCGGCGTGCATGCACGTGTGTGTGGCTGCTTGTACTAGTCCGGACTAATGCCAATTTTGTAGCGCTGGCCCAGAACACCAGATGGCGCTGTTATTTGTGCAACATGCCGAGTTTAAGCAGCTTGTTAATTTTCGAAGCCTTTACATTTTGCATTTGAGGTGAGGTGAAATGGGGTTTAACGTCCAAGATTATTGCACTTATATAGCGACGTGCATGTACGTGTGTGTTTGTGTGGCTGCTTGTACTAGTCCGGACTGATGCCGATTTATAGTGCTAGCTCACTGAGATACCATGCCGCAGTTTAACATGAATACGCCCACTCAGACACAGTATACTGACTCCGAGCCTGTCAGTCCTTGGTTTAGCTACTTAATGCCGAGCGCCAGACAGCGTAACAACAAGTACCATCTTTCAACATCTTTTGATGTGACGCGGCCTGGGATAGAAGCCCCAACCTTCCGCTCTCCGGGTAGACGTTCTAACACTACACCACAGAGGCGGTCGTGTAAAACAAAAATATACACACGCGTGTGAGTAAGTGAATGTTGTTTAATGCGACAGTAGTAGAGCCTGAGCCAGGAGGCTAACGAGTGAGTGAAAGCATGAGCAACGATCCACGCAATTGGATCACAATGACACGCAGGCAACATGGAGCATCTGACCACAGGATCTACATGTCGCACGTCACTCGTCACAGCTGAATATAATGCGACCAAAAACTCTATTATCATAAGAAATCTCTACAAAAAGCCATTGTACGATTCCGACTATAGCATATGCATGTGTTTGTGAATCATTAATGGGCTGCGCATCAATTAGTAACATCTAAGTGACATGCAGGTGACATCTAGGTGACATCAAAGTGGCATCTAAGTGACATCTAGGTGACATCTAGGTGACATCTAGGTGGCATCTAAGTGGCATCTAAGTGACATCTAGGTAACATCTAGGTGGCATCTAAGTGGCATCTAAGTGACATCTAGGTGGCATCTAAGTGGCATCTAAGTGGCATCTAGGTGACATCTAGGTGGCATCTAAGTGACATCTAGGTGACATCTAGGTGGCATCTAAGTGACATCTAGGTGACATCTAGGTGACATCTAGGTGACATCTAAGTGGCATCTAAGTGACATCTAGGTAACATCTAGGTGGCATCTAAGTGGCATCTAAGTGACATCTAGGTGGCATCTAGGTGGCACCTAAGTGACATCTAGGTGACATCTAGGTGGCATCTAAGTGACATCGAGGTGACATCTTAGTGACATCTAGGTGGCATCTAAGTGACATCTAGGTGACATCTAGGTGGCATCTAAGTGGCATCTAAGTGACATCTAGGTGACATCTAGGTGGCATCTAAGTGGCATCTAAGTGACATCTAGGTGGCATCTAGGTGACATCTAAGTGACATCTAGGTGACATCTAGGTGACATCTAGGTGGCATGTAAGTGACATCTAGGTGGCATCTAAGTGGCAGCTTAGTGACATCTAGGTGGCATCTAGGTGGCTTCTAAGTGACATCTAGGTGACATCTAAGTGACATCTAGGTGGTATCTAAGTGACATCTAGGTGAGATCTAAGTGACATATAGGTGGCATCTAGGTTGTATCTAAGTGACATCTAGGTGACATCTAAGTGACATCTAGGTGGCATCTAGGTGGCATCTAAGTGACATCTAGGTGGCATCTAAGCGGCATCTAGGTGACATCTAAGTGACATCTAGGTGGCATGTAAGTGACATCTAGGTGACATCTAGGTGGCATCTAAGTGGCATCTTAGTGACATCTAGGTGGCATCTAGGTTGCATCTAAGTGACATCTAGGTGGTATCTAAGTGACATCTAGGTGACATCTAAGTGACATATAGGTGGCCTCTAGGTGTCATCTAAGTGACATCTAGGTGGCATCTAAGTGACATCTAGGTGACATCTAGGTGGCATCTACGTGGCACCTAGGTTGTATCTAAGTGACATCTAGGTGACATCTAAGTGACATCTAGGCGGTATCTAAGTGACATCTAGGTAACATCTAAGTGACATCTAGGTGGCATCTAGGTGACATATAAGTGATATCTAAGTGACATAAAGGTGGCATCTAGGTGGTATATAAGTGACATCTAGGTGACATCTAGGTGACATCTAAGTGACATCTAAGTGACATCTAGGTGACTTCTAGGTGACATCTAGGTGGGATCTACGTGGCACCTAGGTGACATCTAAGTGACATCCTGAGTGGCATCTAGGTGGTATCTAAGTGACATCTAGGTGACATCTAAGTGACATCTAAGTGGCATCTAAGTGACATCTAAGTTATTATCAAGCACTTGAGTTGGTACAGATGCTGGTATCATTATCAAGCACTTAATTTGGTACAGATGCTTGTATCATTTTCAAGCACTTGTTTCACTACAGAACCTTTATCAAGCACTTGTTTTGGTGTAGATACTAGGACCTATATTAAGCACTTGTTTGGTTACAAATGCTGGTATCATCATCAAGCACTTGTTTGGGTACAGATGCTTGTATCATTATCAAGCAATTGTTTTGGAACAGATACTAGGGCCTTTATCAAGCACTTGGTTTTGGTACAGACACCAGTGCCTTTATCACACACTTGTTTCACTACAGATACCAGTTCCTCTATCAAGCACTTGTTTCACTACAGACACTAGAGCCTTTATCACACACTTGTTTCACTACAGACACCAGTGCCTTTATCACACACTTGTTTCACTACAGATACTAGTGCCTTTATCACACACTTGTTTCACTACAGACACTAGTGCCTTTAACACACACTTGTTTCACTACAGACACCAGTGCCTTTATCACACACTTGTTTCACTTCAGACACTAGTGCCTTTATCACACACTTGTTTCACTACAGACACCAGTGCCTTTATCACACACTTGTTTCACTACAGACACTAGTGCCTTTATCACACACTTGTTTTACTACAGATACCAGTTCCTTTATCACATACTTGTTTCACTACATACACTAGTGCCTTTATCACACACTTGTTTCACTACAGACACTAGTTCCTTTATCACACACTTGTTTCACTGCAGACACCAGTGCCTTTATCAAGTACTTATTTTTGTACAGACACTAGGACCATTATCGGGTACTTGTTTGGGTACAGATGCTAGTGTCATTATCAAACACTTGTTTCTGTTCAGATGCTAGTGCTATTATCAAACAAGAAAGGGGGGGTCTTGGTAAAGACACTAGCATTCGTGTGGTCATGCGGGATCGGTGTGACTAACGGGATCGGGTGGTCAGGCTCGGTGACCTGGTTGATGCATGTCACCGTATCGCTTTACATGTAAATAATCGACTCTGGACCTAAAATCCAGTGATTGACATCCTAAACATCGATTCTCGCAACTGGGATACGATGCCATGCATCAACCAGGTCAGCAAGCCTGACTACCCAATCCCGTTAGTCGCCTCTTACCACAAGCGTAGTCGCATCCTTAGTGCAAGGGCTGGTCAAAAAGTTCTACGAATTACAAACAAAACCAACAATTGTGAAAGCGTTTTTAATATTTTTCAACATAATCTCCCTGCTTTTCAACACACTTCTCATATCAAAAGTGAAGCTTTTCAATTCCATTCGGGAAGAGGTTTTCTGAAGCCACCCTGAAAAAATAACATTCACGGCATCTTTGAGGTCATCGTTTTGACAACAGGTGGAAATTACTTGGTACCAAGTATCGCGAGTATGGAGCTCTTCAAACCCACATTGTTGCACAGCAGCCTTTGTAAGTCGAAAGGTATGGGGAGAGGCATTGTCGTGAGGATTCACCACCAGCAGCCTTAACAGACCAAATGCACTTGCAATTAACTACTCAAACAATGTACTACATTGACTAGTTAACTATGGTATGGCCACTAGTTGAAAGTTAGTCAGAACATTTTGACCAGCCCTCGCATCTTCTAATTTGAGAGATCTGACCTTTTGAGGGTAAAAGTATTCATCCTTTCAGAATTGTAACGAACGATTTGATCACAAGTTCATACAAAAGTAATACAGTAAACAACGTCTGTAACGAACACGCTTATAACGAACTAGCGGATATAACGAACTGTTTTTTGGTCCCGTCCATATGCTATTATATATTCTGTATTGAGCCTGCTACACCAGCAATATCACATACACACAGGGGCCGTTCCGCAAAGCGATCTTAGCGCTACGAATACTGTACGCCTGTGGTAAATTGCGATCATTAATAATGTGTCACGATAACAAAATGAGGTTAACTTTAGTATCTCACGCATCATATCTGGGCCCACTTGCACAAAGCGATCTTAGCGCTAAGACTATTGTAAGCCTATGTTAATGTATGGGCCTTACGATCATCTTAGTGCTAAGATCGCTTTGTGGAAGTGGGCCTTGGTGTCCTTGATTGAGTTTTACGACACGTTATAACAATAGTCCTGCATGCAAACAAATACCTTTCAAAATAATTTCATTTTGGTTTCGTGTTGATAAATCAAGGTTTCTTGTGAGAAGGATGCGTGAAGAGACATTCATACTCAGCTCACCTCAATCGAATAGGCCATCTCGGAAGGTATTGGGAGGAATCCATATAGGAACTAGTTTCTCTCGTTCGCGTGACTATCACAAAATACACTTCAGTGAAAGGTCGTCAAATTCATCTGAGCCATTTGTATTGTTGATTTTTAATTATCCACACTAACACCTAAGCTCTCTACTCTTGCTTCACTGCAGTATTTGTGATTGAGAATGCGTCGTCTAAAACTTGATGAACGCGTCAGAGCTATTGGCATGCTTCAAACTTGTAAACTCAGCCAATATGTTCAACGTGTCTCAGTTTGTGATTTGGA